TAGACAATATTTCTCAATTCTACTAAAAAATAGAGGATTAAACATAACGTTATTTCGCAGTGGTACCGAAAATTAAATAAATTATTTTGTTTATACAACTTTTAATGACCTCAAAGGGTTTGCCTCATGTATCGTTAAATCGATCGTAAAACTGCCATTATGGCTACAAAAAGATAGCATTCCATGAATAAAGAATGTAATTTATCTTTGTGCAACGTTAAAAGATAACTGTTGTTAAATATTACGGAACTATGCAAACGTTGTAAAAAATACTTTTATGAAACTTTAAATATAGGAAAAATATTTTAGGTAATAAAGTTAAATAAAATATTCTTTATATTTAAATGGAAATATAACTTACTGATTAAACACCAAATTCAAAAAATATAAAAGGAATTTCAGTGTATTTCCAATATTTTTATCATTTACAATTATAATTAATTTAATCAATTTCCTGTTAGTTGAAAAGAGTAATAATAATACTATATTAATAATTAAATGCATGGTATGATTTCACTAGTATGATACAGTACTTTAATATGGACCCAGTATGTCCGCAAACGTTGATCAATATCTGTTGCGTTTGCGCGAAATTCGAGAAAAACATCACAGAAACCGCTTAATACGAACTGAAAATAAATAATCATGCCTGTATATACGAAAGCTAAAACCAAATTTTCCTAACACGTAATTCAAGTATTTAATATAAAAATATTGAAATGGTGTAACAAAATTAATTTTTAATTAACTTTAATCTCAACCAACTATTTGTATAATAATTATAATGTTATTATAAATTAATTTATAGTATTTGAAAATATATTAGGAAATATTATCTAAATCTAATAAAACGCATCCTACGATAACCATTTAGTATTTCCATCTAACGGCAATTCATCGCGTATATTCATAAAGTTACAGAAACAAGTAAATTTATTGGCAAACATTAGCAAATTATGGAAGCCTTATTAAAGTTCATTGTATCTCATCTAATTTAAGCCTTGTAAAATGTCAAAATTTGAAATGTTTGTGGAAAGGATTGTACCTCACGTACACAGATACAACATAAACCAAGAAACTGCGCCCTAATCAGCTGTTCCACGTGACCCAGTAACCGATTCCCGCCTAGAAGTACTGCTGGGAAAGCAAATATAGTGAATTTCTTCAATTGCTCTCAAGTGACCCTGACAAGGACCCATTGAAATCATACCCAATCATAAATCTTCCAAAGATCAAACAGCATCTGACGATTCTGATTCATGAAAACATGTTGCAAAACAAGCTGGCTGCCATCAACTGGTTTTATATTCAGTTGTAACTTTCTTTCTACCAATACAGTCGTATGGTTATACAGTGCCAGAAAAGATCTTGAACTACATTAATACTCACATCAATTCAAGTATCTTGAATATCTGGAGTGTCCAGACCAATAACCCTATCGAACTTGTTTGTCTCGCCGTATATGCATATACATAGTTATCCTAAAGTCTATAAAGCTATAAACGTAAATTCGAAGACATAAGACCTACGACTCGTTGAAATTACAAGTATCTTCGAAGAATAGCAGAAATTAACTGCCAGATGAGGAAATATAGGATTACTTTTATTAAATGAGTGGAGTACCAAGAATATGTTTTACTAGATAAAGGTATAACTATAATACTATATTGCGGATAGTGCAATGCGGCAGCCATGAGTTCATATCGTTGAACGCTAATGGACAAGGTGCAAAACGCGTCGCATCCTTGCTGGGATAAAATCACAACCCCAAATTTTGTACTTTTTAAAAGTAAAAATCTATTTATGTTGAGATTTTGAACATAAATTGATATTATTACGCAAATATAATTCATGAAGATGAAAAATAGTGTTCAATCATTTATCGATCATTTTTGACGTGAATATCTATTTTAATTCCAGTTCTATAACTGTTATTTTTCAGTTCTGTATTGCAATTCTGCATTTAAAAATAATAGTTATAAACCCGTTATACTGAATAACAATTATGACTTTATTTCGCTTCTTCATAATTGTTTCCAGAACCGAAACCGATATTATAACTGTTTTCAACCCCAGCTTATAACAATACCTACAAATAATGTAGTCCAGGACTTCCTAATTAGTTCCGCAGTGAACGACGTAAGTCGAAAAGAACTTAAGTCGGGATACACGGGAAAGCCATGTCCTACTGCATAACGCATACGTATCTATACCTATATGTGAGGAAAAAATTTCGTGACAGATAATAGGACAACGGGACCCGTATCAGAGGTCTAGGTCCAAGGAGTAGGTACAAAAACGGCTACAAAAAATGAGCACGATCGCTGTGAGTGACACTGAGAACCTACACCCGTGGTTTCCAACCTGGAAGGCGTCAAAATTTTTAATAAAAAATTAATGTTCATACCATAATACCTACAAATAAATAAATTTCATATCGTAACGCAACAGTACAAATTTAGTGAAGTAATGTTTATCTTGTAATAAAGTTATTATTATTTAAAACGTGTCTATATTATTATATCTATTAACACATTCACTACTAGCGCTTATTTCGGTGACAGTCTCCTCAATTATAACATTTTCTTCAATTCAATAAATCTAAACAAAATATTAGAAAAATGAAACTGAAACAAGTCATTGACTTCCTAAATATAATGTCGTAGTTTATCATTTCTAACAATAATATCTATAGGATTAATTTCATTTTCATTATGTAAAATATAGGATTACGGCCGTCACAAATATGTGACGCTGGTAACGAACGTGTTAAAAGATAGGGTCGCATGAAAAAGAAATTTCTTTTAGGAAGGCGTAATATCATAAAGGTTGGAAACCACTGACCTACACACAAGGAGCTCGGACCTTGAAGGAAAGGGACACGTCTGATCAGGGATTATAGACTTACATTTCGTATAAGCGTAGTTATAATATTCGTATCAGGAGAGTCCATAGTGTGTTTTGTAACTCCCCGGCGATATTTGTACAGTGTAGCTCCACGTTTATAGCAGCGACCTAAGATTTAACCACTTGCGTTGGAAATGAATTCAGAGATTTGGCAAAGTCTGGCGCGATGAATTTTGTTTTTACCTATTTTACGCTGATATGTACACCAATTTTGTTTCTTAATCGTTCTGTGTAGAGTGATAAATTTCGAAAGAATCTCATAGGTGTAACGCAACAAGATTATCAATGCGTGAAAGACATCATTGAGAATTCTGCGACAGAAACGCCTCAACGTGCGTGGCACGTCTTTCTAGCGCAAGTGGTTAAAAGCGCACATGGGCAAGGGAAATCGGCTGCAGGTTCCACCTCGGCTCGCGGCTTGACCGGTAACAAGAACGCGACGATACCGACCCCCCGTAACATCAGGCCGAGCGCCGCGAGTAGATGTCTCCCTTTACCCCTGTGCACTTGCGGCCGCTGCTATACACGTAGGGGCTGCACTGTATACAGTGGGCAGGAGTTGGAAACAGTTATGATATCGGCTTCAGTTCTTGAAACAATTATGAAGAACTGAAATAAAATCATAACTGTTGTTTGATATACAGGTTTTGAACTGTACGAGTTTCGGTTCCGGTTCTTCGTTCCAGTGGACACGGGGATTGGTTAAAATTCTAAAAAAGTGTGAGTGGTAGAATGAAAAAAACAACGCGGTGGGGACGTGATGTACTTTATGTAAAGGACTGGAAAATTCCACATGACCGACCATTGTCTAATGGTACCAACTCATCCTAGGACCAGTGACTTAATACCGGTGTGATTTTGATACCGATGTTAGGCCTGGCAATTAAAGCTGAAATAATATTAACTCTTTGCACTCGAGAGGTGACTCTCACTCACCACTTGATTTCATATAGTAAAACTATAAAATTTGATATTTAATATTATACTTCGTATATCAATTTAAGAAATATTGAAATAAAGTAGCTTTATTCCTCAATATATGTGTGACTTCTCGTCGAATTAGTTTCATAAAATATCGTCTTTATCTCATCAGAAAATGTTAAAATATTTTTAGTGAAAAACTTCCGAGTGCAAAGAGTTAATACGTTTCGTGCCACGTGTATCATTCATGGAATTCTTATAAGAAAATATTTTTAAGAGACACATGGTAAAGAATAGCGGTATACGTTAGAAAGCACCGAAAACATAAAGAAACAATATCAAAATATATAAAAATTACCAAAAACTTGTATATAAGTTAATATTTTATTTAAAAAATCAATACAGTTCATAAGCAAAGTATGACTGAAATTTCTGTGGCACGGAACGTGTTAATACCGGTACAAAACTAAGAAGGCTATACCAAAACCAAATAATACCGAAAACCGAAATAAATACCGGTATTGAGTGTTTCGGTTCATATAAGGGTTACAAAGATATAACGGAAAAATACCGGTATTTTACATTTAGGTAGAAGTCCCTGATGGAGAATTACAAATAATAAACTCATAAAACATGCTGGCCCTTTGAAGCATGCGGCCTCGCAGGTAATTTTTACCTGGCAATTTACAGACTAAGCGAGCCACTGCTACAAGGGATCTGTTGACAAAATAAAAATTTCTAGAGTCGACTGGGGCTCAAGGTTGTGCAAGCTTGTTGTTTGCAAGGCGTTAGTAAAAACTTATGACTTCAGCCGAACTATTTTAATTTTTAATTAAAATGGTTTCAAAATTTCTTTTCATAAAACGTGTACACATTTTTATTAAATGTTTAAAAAATATTTCGACTTTTCCTGTTACTATGTGTTACATGTATATAACGATGAGCTGAAAAAAAACTAGTGCGTCACATATGTGTGACGCGTGGAAACTAAAGGGTTAAATAAATCTCCTGATACCATAAATACATAAAAGCTATTAGAATCCTCGTTTGCTTTAAATAAACATAATTCAATACACCTAGTGTTTTATTGTTGTGAAGAGTATCACTATTTTATTTTGAGTATCTATAATATAAATAACAAAGAGATATTTTATAGATTATTATTAGGGGTATATAACCATCTTTTCGAACTTCATAAAAGTTTGAAAATATGGAATTACTGAAGAATTCACTTTCTCATGTAAAATTTTTATAAAATTCTTATAATTCTTATTAAGGAAATATATCATAATTAATATAACATGTATCCTTAATATAATATTTATAATAAATTTAAAAAATGCTTATAATTCTTTATTAAATCAGTAGTCTGACATGCATGAGAATCATAAAAATTGTATGTATATCTCCATAATATTTTTTTGCACTGTCTTAGCGAGTAATTTTCATGTTATCCATCATTATTAACTTCCATGAAAAGTCAATCCCTTATTAATCTGTGACACACTCAGTTAAACCAAAATTCCTTGTATTTAGTTTTACCTAATGGAAGTAAAATAAATTTTCTTCCTTATGTTTTGCCTTATTTCCATACATATTTTAAATTATCTATATATCAAAGAATGCAGATATATTATTTAATTATTAAAAAAAGAAATGTCTGATTATTGTACTATAAATTTTATTAGTTTAAAATAAAATAATATCTCAGAAATGAAATCTTTGAATTTTGTAAATAGGAAATTCAATTCCAAAAAATAGACTCCTACCTTCTCCTGCAATTACAACATTTACAATTTTGCTGACGAGCATGATTACTCCATTGTCTACGTAATTCAGAGAAATTATTAAACCATTTACAATCAGGTTTGGGTGGTACGCTGCAATTCCACATCATTTCTTCAGCGCACTGACATGGTTCTGGATTTGTACTTATAATGTTGTGAACATTAGAATAGTTATTGTTGCCATTAGTATAAGCAAAACATCCTCCATTATTTTGACAAAAACAAAAGTGGGTTTCAGGATCCGATATTAAATATCTCTTCTTTTCAGTATCATAGTTGGTTGCTATATGAAAAATTAATTTGTAATAGATTTCAAATTATTAACCCTCCAAACCTCATTTTTCCCAATGTTATTTATCTAGTAAAAATTAATTCCAATAATTATTTATTTTAAAAAGATGTATTGCTTAATAATATACTAACCACAACAACCACCACAAGAATATTGTTCGATTTTGTCAGTTTCTTTGCAACAAGACATGTTTCTCGATTATATTTTAAAAGTAAGCCTAATTTTTACATAAGTGTGTTTGCCATTTGTGTCCCTGCTTTTGTATTCATAATATTGTTTCTAAGCACTGAATTTTACATTTTGGAATTTTTATTAAAAGTAATTGTATGTTAAATAAAAAGGTGAAAGTATAGTAGGAATTTCATTTATCTTCATGTTTCTTTTTTACATTGTCACCATGGAAAGATATTTTTTTACATTACAGGTTACAAACAATTGTTCACTTCAATTTGTTTATCCAGTTACTCATATACCTCCTAAAATCGAACACCTTCCTTATCAGTGTAGCCAACAAAAAATAATGGAATCTTGCTACATGGCTTCTAAAATCCCATGATTTTTTAAACAAAATTTTTGAATTTTAATATCCAAGAGTTTATTAGTATTTTTGACATGAGTGTCGAATTGTCTCGATCAGTGGTTCCTCTACTAATAACTTTACTCTAGAAGTTTTCCGACATTTTTGGTACTGTCCGTTGTACGGGAGAAGAACCTCCGGGCAGCACAGGAATAAATGGGGTTTCCCGCTATGCGTTTTTTTTATTGATTTCATTTGTTACATGTCAGCGTATTAACGAATAATAAAGTACCTTGAAAATGAGATAAAAGAATATAAAAGCTGACCAATTAGATCTGCATTTCTTTCAGGGCTCTTCTCCTCTACAATGGAGGGTAAGTAAAGATATGTGAGCAGCTTTATGTAGTGTTCAATGCAAACAAGTACTAACTTAAGTATAGAAAAAGTAACTCTTGTATACCAGGCCATGAGAGGAAGACCGAAGATGACTCTAAAACTCCCAGTTCGACATCTCTGATTTATGACATACAATATCTAATAAAAAAAAGTAATTTTAATGTACAACTCTTATAAAATAACAGATTTGCTGGAATCATTGAAGCTTGGTTCCAGCTTCTTCACTTTGATTTATATAGTAAACCAGAGTTTCTATTTTCTTTAAAACTTCTTGCAAATGATAATGTGACCGAACTTTATTAATGCTTCCTTTATTGTCAGAATTGTGACAATTTATAGCTTGATAAAATTTGAAATCAATGTATCAATAGATAAGATCTATGATAATATAAAGAACATAAGACACAGAAATTATTAATGTTGATCTTAACACCTTTATATTGTCAGGCAGTTGTATGTAAAACTCTATGTGATCTAATAAAAAATATAACGCATTGTTATCTGATGTCAATTCCTTCTTTTGTTAGTAATTTCATTTGGTATGGCTTCTCCTCAACTTCATAGCCCAGATAAGAATATCAATAAACAAAAATCAATAAAAGAATTATCAAAGCAGGAAGTCTTTTGTGCAGGTTGGAAGTACAAACTGTTTCCTATGCTCTCCAGTAGTTCTTAAGTGTCATAGGCAATCTCTTAGACCACTGGTGAATTATAAATTAACTACATATCTTCTTCTTAAGCTACTTACATGTAATAAGAGAAACTATCAAAAAATAATTTTTAACTCTAAAACTTCACAGTTGTATTCAATAAATAGTAAATGAAGGAAAGACAATTCGTAATTAGTACATTTAATCGCGAGAACATGATAAATATTTAATTAGATGTAAATGATTTATAAATAATATGTAAGATTATTGAGGTAAAGGCACATTGTCATATGGAGGTTAACAATAATTACTATTATATAGGTTTCTGTCAAAGCTCTTAAAATAATAGGGATGTCATTTCAATTTTCAGAGTTCACTTGTTTACGCGCTATAGTTCGATGCCGGTATAAAGGAGTATTATAGGTAGTACTTGCAATACCTATTAATTCCTTCAGAAACAAACAATAACTTATTTAAAACAATCTTGAAATTTAAATTATATAATTTAGAATTAATATGAAATACTAATATAAGAATTGCAAGTTTTTTTTCATAAATTTGTAACATCACTTGTACTGTCTACAACTATCTTTTTTATATTATATTCTTACAACATTACAAATCTTATTATAAGAATCTTTCTGTAGTATATGTTTTCATAAAGATAAAAAAGCAATATATACATTTTAAATATTAAGATAAACGACTAACTACAACATAAATTTATATACTATATAGGTACATTCTTTGTTTTGTACAGAAGTCGAATAGTGATGTGCAAGTGCAAGGAAATTATATCGTGTAACTGGGACTTTTTTTTCCTACTCTTACTTTTGTCATGACAAAAGAGATGGGCAATAGTGGAGGGGAGAACTGTGGGTTCCTAGCGCATAGGGCAAAGTGAGCTCCCATCGCAAGGATACTATATTACGTACACAAAGAACTGGCGCAAGACGCGTGCGCATTTTCCATGTGTATAGCAGTACGCATGGTGTGAAGAAACCGGGAAAAGCATGTATAAACGTGTCGATCACGTGTGATGCAGCTGCTCTTGTATGTTTAAGTAAGTACACACTATTATACCGTAAATTTGGGGATTATTCGTGGTACTATTAATTATTAAAAGTTACATGAAGAAACTTTACTTCTACATCAAAATGATACCTTACATATGTAATTATCTGTCCATCGGCATATGTCCAGTGACACATGCTGCTCACGTTGCTTAGTATTATACCACAAAAGTCTGTCAAATAATAATAATATGATTGAGAATCTTATGAAATAACACAAAAAATCTATCGATTAATGTCCTATATTTAGACTTCGGTTTTTAACAGTTCATTGAAATATTTGGAGGCGTGGCGTGTTCAGCAACTATATATCAGTATGCTTTCTTTACACACGTGTTAAATACACGTGCACATGAGTAGTATGATCCATGTACAAGTGTATGTGTATGTTATGTGTGTATGTGTGTGTGTGTGCGCGCGTGCAGGTATAAATTGTCTCTATGAGAATAAACTCAACATGTGTACCTAAAATTGAGTGATAACTTCTAATATTGAACACAATTTTATAAAGTAAACCTCTGTCAAAACATTACATTTTGTTATACCTGTCAAATCTTGATTATATGATAAGTTCTTTTCTTACACTCCAATAAAATAACGGTATCTCATGTCTTTGTCGGTTCTTAGCATTTTCACATTTGCAGAGGGTAGTGTGTATAAATTTCCGGTTTTATATTAAAGTGTACCCAAATTCGATTATTTAATTTCGAGATTCGCAAAATATTTAAAAATGACATGATAATGTAAAATAAGTATTAATTTCAACGTGCGTATACCACGATTTGTGTCACATTACTATTGTTTCGAACATAACCTTAAAAAAACGCGTGGTCACATTATACCACTTTGTCAAACTTTCGTTTTATTTTTTAACATTTCTAATTACAGGCTGAGAGTACAGTATAATCAATTGAGTGAACACGTGAAGTTGTATCATGGAAACAGGATTTTTAAATTTTCATGATGAAGAACATTTTTCAGATTTTTCATTGTCCCTGGAACAGGTAATGTACTTATTTAATTTTAATAAAAAGTAAACAATTTTACGTTTGTAAATGGAATGATTATATTTTTATATTTATAAATGTATTATCATTAGCGTCATTATGAATAATCTTACAAGAATAACTTTCTAATAATACATGAAATATTATTGTAGTTAATATTAGCATTTTTGATAGTTGTATAACTTCATTGAACAGTTACAATGTTTACATTATTTGAATTAGTTCAAGTCACTGTATTGTGTATATTTGCCCTTTTACAATTTAATTGAATAAGAAAAGATGATTGAAAAACTATTTGTTATAGTATATCGAATTATTTGCATTTAATACAATAATTAAAAAAAATATATATATACCAAATATGATAATAATTTCTTTTTAATTTTGTTGTTTTTTCTATGACTTCTATGGTACATATGTTTCTTTATTAGACTTAGATTTGAGTTTAGTAAAAGCTTGTTTTTGTTACAGATTCTCTGTACTTCATTAAAATAATATGTAATATTACGTGTGCTTAATTAGGTTAATATGGTTCAAGAGTTTTCTCGCTGTAATTATAAATGTAAGGCATGGACAAAACTGTAGAGGGGTTATACACGTGTAAATTTTATATTTTATTTGAACAATTAGAAACTTTGAGATAACAAAATACTTTTCCATCCACATAGTGAATTAACAATTGTAGATTACTCTTTGTTCCTTTAATTATTGATATTAATTGTATTATACATTTTTTGTTCAATTAAATAATTAAATATGAAAGTAGACATATTTGTAACGATTGTCTTATAATCTACTTTGTTAATAGAAATATTATAAAATATATATTGTCTTGTTGTAGCATTTAATGGAAAAGCCTCAAGATTTATTAATGCATATGGTAGAAAATGATTTCGATTATATGGAAACACATCTTGATATTGCAAACTCGGATAGTTTATGGAGTAATGAACATGAGTAAGTAGAGATATTTCTTCTTAGTACAAATTATGGAAACAAATGGTGCTAATGAGTTTCACGCATTTTAGACGAGCCGAAGATATGGGTGAAATGTCAATTGCAGAAATTCCTACAATATCCAAGATTGATAATATTAAAGAAGATTTTGCAAAAGTTCTCACAGACTGGCAGGAACACATTGGCTACTTACAGGTTTTATTCGTTCTCCTTTCTTACTTCGCTTACGATTTACAACATTATTTTATAAATATTCTCTTTTAGGCAACAGACATTGATGAATATATGGATATCATAGGATTAAATATGAACACTACCGATAGAAAAAGCTTTTGCATTTCAGAAAATGTATTTCAAGATGAACAGTTAATTCAGACTTTAGAATCCGATGGCTGTAAAACAAAACAAGCGGACTTCAAGAGGGAACGTTTACAAACCAGTAAAAATGTGCAAGAACCAAGTAGTAGTAACAAAGTCGCAGGTTTATTTACATTAATATTATTGTCATATTTTTTATCTTATGATTTCCTTTTATGACATAAATTTGTAATTTTTAGAAAATTCAGTAGAACAGATTTCATATCGTACAATAGCTGATGCTTCTAAAAGTTGTGATAAACACATAGACATAGAACTTAAACAAGGTTATTTATACTCTAAACACAGTCATAATAAGGTAAAAGAGAATATACCCAAATATGACAGTACAGGAATTGATATTACTGCAAATATGCTAGCAAAACAAAAGAAAAGGAAAAAAGAAAAATCCATACTTTCTAATAAAGATACAAAAAGTAGTAACCATAATGATAAATTTCGTTCGAATCAGTTACCAGGTAACAAATTTGCAATATTTTGAGATCAAGATCATAACAAGTAAATCAGATAAAGTATTATAATGATTTTATAATTATCATCATAGTGCTGGAAGCTGGAACTGTCGAAAGTTTACTAGAACAATTTGAAGCTTCCGAAAAGAATGTAGTATCATCTGACTCATCTAGCAAAAATAATATAGATTTGAATCAAGATTTAAATGTAAGCTGTAATAAAAAGCAGCAGTTTTTAAAGGAATCTGGAATCGGTATCCCTAAAAAATCGTTATCACATGTTTCGAATGTTCATAAGAATGTTAGAAATGTTATATCCAAAGAAGTAATCGAGAAGATCAAGGTAAATATACAAGAACTTAATTTTTACTGAGTACATTTCTCACTCAGAATGATGTGAATAATGAATCCAACTGACAATATGGTGAATCTATAATAGACATCTGGACGTAAAAAAGTAATTTCAATAATACCAACTATGGCAAGCATACAGGGTACTGGACGTAGTAATGGAACCCGTATGCAAGATGCTGCAGCCACACTTTCTCGAAATAAACTTCTAAAAATAGTTAAGTATTTATTTTATTAAAGTAGCTGTATGATAATGAAACAATCAAACAAACAACATTGAAACAATGAAAGTATTTCTTTCTTTTTTTGTAACATTTATAGTATTCAAGAATGTTAATTTCATATGAAGTTTAGTAACTGTTTATTTCTTGTGTTAGGTGACAAACAATACTAAAAATAGAGCTATTGATGGCGGACTAGTTCAACTAGATCATGATTATTGTAGCAGTACTAACTCGTCCATTAGTAGTTCCGATAGTAACAGTGAATATGATAAGCAATTTAGTGACAGTGAAAAATCAACTCCAATAAAAAGTAGTAATCGACAACAGGCTGAATGTCATACTACTTACACAGAGCAAACAATATCATTACATGGAAATGAAATCGTAATAAAAGAAAAGGGATATTCGATTGAAAGTAGTACACAGAAAGATAATATGTTAGAATTACATGAAACAGATGGTAACTACGAAGAACAAACAAGAGCTACAGTATTTAAAGCTGTACAAATTGATGGATCTATAAAAGTCCGAAATGAAACTGAATGTCAAAAGGAAACAGTAAGAGAACAGGAAAATTGTCAATATATTAATAGATCAAATAATACGACAAATGGCGTTAGTCAACTTCGAAATGAGTCTACGAATAATTCAACCCCTGAAATGAAAATACGTTCAGCTTTAGCAACAAGTATTTTGCAATTGCAACGTGGTGCTTTAACTAAAACAAAGTCTTTAAACGGGGGGAATCAGAAAACAAAACAAATGGTTTCCGTATTAAAGAAGCCACTTAATGTACAACAACTACCAACAGTTGTAATAACTGGCTCTTACGAAAATGTAGTAACTACGAATGATAGCTCAAATAATAAAGTACAGAATATTATTATTCAAAATGCTGAAGAAAACCTTACACAAGATGAAGAAAAGAAACCTCCGCGTAAAAAATTAAATTTAGCAGAATACAGAAGTAGAAGAGAACAAAATCGTAGTGATAACAGTAGAACTAATTCACCGATACAACCTATGACATTAATATATATTCATCATGCATCTACAACAACTGAACCTGTCAAAGATGATTTTGGAAATCTTAACTGGACAGAGAGAGAAATTGTATCAATTTTAAAACCAAAAGTAGATATAGATGAAGAAAAAGTACGTCCGAAACCGGATACGTGCGACATGGGGATACAAACTTATGAGACTGTATTTGAATTTCCTCCAAAGTCTTTAATCGACGTCGACGAAAGACCAGAGGAAGACAGGTAACAAATATACAAATTTGCAAATGTTTGTGCACATAAACATAAATTGATCGGACTAGCGGATTAAGTATTTGAATTCGCTAGTAGTTTTCTTCAGTACACTGATAATTTCCTGAAAACGATTCTAATTTGGAAACAAGTATTCAGATACCTACTTATTTTTAACAGAGTGTCATTTAAATGTTACATAAAAACATTCTGTAGTAGTTTTGTTATTGCTATGAGTAATACGTATGTGTAAATTATTCAAATGATATACAATAATAACACGAAAGTGTAAAATCCTGTTAAAATTTCTAAAAGTATTACAGTTACTTACAATGTTCTTTAAGTCTTAAGTTGCGTGAGCTAATATTGGGACAATTTAATACTACTATGACTATATTGATAATATTAATAATATTTTTTGTTTTCATTTTTAATTGGTTTATTTAATGAAAAAATAATAGAAATCAATATATTATATGAATATTCATATATTATTACTGTACAAATATTGACTTAAATTTCACGAGTTATGTGTCGATAATGTAAAATTTTAAAGATTTTCATAATTTTCAGAGAAAAACACATTTTAAACACAAGTCAACGATCGTACAGAAAACACAGAATTAGTTCTAGTTCAAGTCGATCTAGATCAAGAAGTAAAAGTAAAAGTAGGAGTAAAAGCAGAAGCAGGAGTAGTAGTAGTAGAAGCAGATCCCGTAAACGCAGCAATACACGTCACCGAAGAATAAGCCACCGTCGTAGCTCTGTCAGTTCAAGTAGTAGTTGGTCATCTCGTTCACGTTCGCGTTCAAACACTAGATCTACTTTCAGTTCAGAATCGACATACTCACGATCACGTTCTAGATCGTCCAGGTCAAGATCCCGATGTTCTTCAAGGTACTCCAGTTGTTCAAGGTATGCATTTACAAACTTTAAAGTTTGTTTGTTTCAAAAAAATTTACTAATATATTTAAAGGAAAAAATGAAGACACACCTTAATGAAAATTTTCTGATACTCATCTTTATAGATCTTCATCTCGTTCCAATTTTGGAAGAAGTAAATGGTCAAGTCGTCGAAGAAAGGAAAGACATTATCGTAAAAGTTATGATAGACACAGACAACACTCATCAAGCAGTTATCGTAGTTATAGGGATTGGAGAAGGTACATAATTGATAGTTATTGTCTGTAGACACTGTACACACATTGCCTGCAAACAGTTTTCTATTTCAATGAGATATAAAATACGGACCAATTCTTATCCGAAAACTGCTTCTGAACTTAAAATTTAATTCTTGTGTTTGCAGAAAATTATCCGTTAATGTGGACTGAGAAACATTTAATTTTTATTAATTGTGTCCGGATGAAAATGACTTTTTTTATTTAATGTTTTTAATATGCTTTATAATTAACAAAACTTAATCACAGTAGTAATTAATATACTTACTAATTAGATAATTTTAAGTGTTTGATTTTTTAAAACGTAAGCCGATTTGATTACTCAGCAATAATTTGATATGTATGGTTTTAATTCCATTAGATCTCCGTCAAGTTCTTATCATAAAGCATATGACGCGTGGTACGATAGAGAGAAACAAAGACAGGTAGAGGAACGAAGGGTAATTTATGTTGGTCGATTAGAAGAAGGAATTACTAAAGCTGATTTGCGTAAAAGATTTGAAGCTTTTGGGCCTGTTGTAGATATTAGTGTCCATTTTCGTGAACATGGGTAAATGTTTTAATATCTTGCAATATATTTTTAATGTAACAAGATATGGAATTCCTAATTTTTGCTGTTGTATTGCAGCGACAATTATGGTTTTGTAACATTTGCTTATAAAAATGATGCATACGAAGCAGTCGAACATGGAAACGATGATCCGACTTTACCCAGATACGATTTATGTTTCGGGGGGCGCCGAGCTTTTTGTAAAGTGAAATATGCTGATCTTGGTAAGAACACGTTTTATTTATATCGAATTGAACATTTTTTGTTTTTTTACTAGGAGTGAAGCAACATTTATATAAATATTATTATTTTTTATCTATTTATTATTAATATAATAGGGAAATATTTTAAATGTATCATCATAAGTGTACTAATGTACTACTTTTAATAGATGGTATGGCCAGCAACTCACCCAATAGTGGATACATGTCACAGATGAATGAAGACAATACATTCGACTTATTACTAAAAGAAGCAAAAGCTAAGTTGCGTAAAAGAAAGGTTTGACATATGTACTACTTATTAGTTGTAAATGTAATTTAAAATTTAGTACAGATGTTAACGATTATATTCAAGGCAAAAATAAGCAAAATGGTATACTGGTATTTTCGACCAGTTGATATGTAGTGAGAATTATGACGTGATTATTGTAGAATATACATTACCATTGCGATGATTTTATGGTATTTGTAAAGGAATATAGAACGTGACAGCTTCATATTTCGAAATAATCAACATCAACATTATTAAACTGTACAGGATATCTCACTTAAGTCTGCTATTTTTCGATAACAATGGAAGTATTAAATTTCATTCTGCGAAAGTCTGGTTAGTTCACCGTGTATAATTGTAATAAGATTGTTTGAAGGTTTTCTCTCATTTATAGTGATAAGTTATTGAAGTCATTACAATATTAATTATGCATCCATTAAAAGAACTTATACATCTTTCAAATAGAAAAGAATTGTATTTCGAAAGTGTTCTGTACGAATAAGATATAAATATATATACACACTAAAAGGTGTACCATCTTGATCTTTTTCACATTGTTATTTCCAAATTACCAATTATTTAATAAAATGTTTCAAATATTATTTATTTTTGTGAGAATAAATACGGTAGTATTAAAAAAAGTAGTAATGACTGATCTTAACTGGTCTTTTTTTTGGATTCTAATCTGGATTTAATTCCCTGACTAATAGATGATAAACATGAAGGGCATCATCAAGGAATCTATTTTAAAATCAGTAATTGCAGTTTGGTAGTAAATCTTTTATTTTCTAGCAGATTGCAGCAGATAACTGTTTAAGTTAAAAAAATATGTAAGTAAATATGTTGACTTCTTACCAACCAGCGATGTTGTTTACTAACTTGTATGAAAAGATTCTCAGGAAGTCACTATATATGTTCTATCAAGACGTTTTTATTAATTATTGTGGAATTTAAAGATCATTTATTTTTTAGTACAATTGTCTATTGTGTTCAGTTAAATCTAGGAACAATAGTGATAGCTAAAGGTATAATAAATTGTATTTAATGTAGTAAAAGAACTATTTTGAAGCAAAATTAAGCAATGCTCAAGAGTACATTTTTGCCTCTATATGTTAGAGATGACTGCAATGTACCCGTTACAAAGTCAAAGTGAAACGACAATTACTTTTTAACTCTAAATAAAATCATGAAGCTCATTAATAGAATAAAAATAAAGAAAATGTCATTTGAAACATTTTATTAAATCGTCAAGTTTTAGATATAATCGTGTGGAAAGATTAGATTGGGACCCTGTATATATTGTTTAAAATGTAACTTTCATATAAAAAAAAGTAAATGTATTTCGTTATATCGAAAATGCTGTGCATCAATAACATTGGTGTGTTCCACATACATATATGTGTTACTTAAAACAGCACCAGAATACATATACAGTCATCCAGGTATTCTTCTGTCCGTATAGAAGCAATTAAAGCGAAACGAAACTAATGATACATTTACTTTATTCCTATAGTAAAAAATTATTTATTATAATTTTTACTAAGAATAATTCAACTGTTTCTAGTATGTGAAGTTGAATGCATGACACATTACATAGGCATACATATTTAAATGCAGTTTGCGACATTTTATTATACTTTCAGCTTTAGATAAACTTGGTTTCATATCCGTATTCCCTGTCCACAAGCTCGCTGCTAATTATACATTTTAAATGAATGATTAAATCGTCATTTTTTACCTTAATGTGGTTTACTGATAATAATTCTTTCTTAATACACATTTTTTTTATAGAAAATAATAGTATAATAGTACCTTGATATGGCGATCAATGTCAGTCAGAAATCCACTTACAGTATTTAATTTTTGTGTATGTTTCCCCATTGTTCTGCGCTCAATGTCATATATTTTCTAACATCTATTCACGTATAATTAAGACGGTCGAGTATGGGAACCCCTTTTCCTCTGTTTAGAGTGTGTGCCTGTTAACCCTTTCAATACTATGGTCGACTATAATTTCTCGCCACAAATCGCCGTGACTATATTATGTTTATAAGTCCCCTTGGATTTTGCTTAAGCATTTAAAGAAGTTTGTTTACTTCATGCTCCATACTCGTTTTATTATCTTGTCAACCAAATAATATATTATACAGATGATCAGCTGTAATTTCTATTTCTTGTAAAAGTGTAGGAAGCAAAATGACTCTGAATTATGTGCACGTGTAACTGTATTGAGAAATGCGTTTCGCGATAAAAACGATCGCAACGAAAGGGTTAAATCGTGCGTTCCGTTGCGAACTTTTATAATAAACGAATATAATCTAAATTTATCGATTAGTTTCTTTTGAGTTTGAATCCTTTTTTTTGTATGCGACTAATTACTCCTTTAATATCTATTCTATCTACTATTCGGTTAAGAAAATTGGATTAATTTCACCGTTTGTTTATCTGAGAAATCTTAAAATTTATTGGTGGCATATGTACAGCGTACACGTACACTGTATACGTCCATACATTAAAATAAGGGGAAACACTTCGCAACTTGCAATTAGTCATTAATTCTGTCGATCAGCTATATTGTTGATATTTATTTACAAAGAAATAAGTTACCGATTGTGACGAATTTTAAAACTGATCTGTATACAATACTCAGTTATAAGGTTCATCATATTTATCAACGTATTTTAAACTTTACAGAATTGTGAAAATTTGTGAGAAAATGGTTCCTATAAAACATCCAATTGATCGAAAGCAAAAACTCGTATGAGTTACAATTTCGAAATCTGAATAGAAGTTTTACATTTTCGTTCATAATTTAATGCCATTATTGTGGAAAAATTAAGAAATATTCTTAAATATAGATACAATTTTTAATGGTATGTGAAGTTTTAAAATCTTCGTCTTGTATTATTATATTTAAATACATCGTTGTACATGAAAGTTCTTTTCTTATTTTCATCTAAACGGTTCAATTTTTTGCTATTTTTATTCGGGAATATAAGTCTATTGTAGAGTAGATCAGCGGTCCCCAAACAATGTACTGTGGTTAGCTATAAGGACGCCATAAAATATTCAAAAATTTCATATTACACTGAAATTTTTAAGATGCTAATTTCAGTTTACAAGACGGTAGCTACTAAAAATATTGTAACTCTAATAATGTTGTGAAACTAGACGTTTGGGAACCACTGCTATTAATTATTCGTATTATTGGTTTAAATTACCGATATTATAAAAAATATTCTTACTCAAATCTAGCAAAACTATATAGGATGCTTGACCAAAGAGAATTGAGGAATTTTGAAACTTCAGTTTGAAGTTACAAATAATTGAAAATTTGAATCAGATAAGCTATTAGATTTACAATTCGAAACGTATATTTACAGATGTGGTAAACACTATAATGTTTGCGATAATATTGCGATAATTTATGACGATGAATATTCGTCATGTTCGCGGCGTTAAACTTGTTTATTTATGTAAACTGATAGGAGTACATCAAGGCTTATCTACTTCAAGAATTGGCAAAAAGAATATCTACTTCAATACATCGTTACTCCGACAGAGGATTGAATAAATAAACACGCTTCTAAAACTTTATTTATTATGAAATCAATTTATTAATGATCTAGATGACCAGTGCGTGCCACCACCATGACAATGAAAAAGAAATTGTAATATAATCCATACGTAAAAGTACAAACACGAGTAGAAACAGAAGTTCCAAACCTAGAAACTTCCAGTTACAAATTAGTATCCAGGTATCAGACTAATTTCCATTCATTTTTTTTAAACAAAACCTTAAATCAAAACATCTTCATTTCGTTTTATTTGTCGGTGTAGAATAATCCATTTGGTCGTACCATAATTTTGAGAACATTTTGTATACGTATGCTGTCGTTGGTCTTTCAACTTTGTTTATCTTTATGTTTGCTTTGCAACTTGCTTATTTTCCTTTCCTACCTTATTTCCTTGTCTCGCCCAGTTTCTTGCTACATTTGCGAAATGGATTCGTTTGCATGCACCGAACACTCGTTCGCCTTGTCCGTAAGTCTTACGGTTTGTAAGCTTGTTTTTCGCACCTCTCTATACCTCTAATACTTCTCTTTCATTGTATTTACCTCGTTACCCCCTTCTCTTCTCGTACTTTCCAGTTTTCTGAGTACCTACCTCTTTTTTAAGTTTCCATTTACTTCTCAATTACCTCTCCATCTTTCTACCTCCCTTTTCCCTTTTTACTTAATGTTGTTCACTTAATGTTGTTTTCTTTTTATCAGAAACGTCCAGCCACTCTGCTTCTTCTGTTGGTGTATCTAAAATTTCTTTCATCTTTATTTTCTTCCGACGTTCCATTCGTATACTTTTCAAAAACGCACTCACCCTGCTTACGTGCTTATCCTCGTTTACCATGTGCCTCATATTCTCTATCTTATTTTTCAATCTGTATGTCACCATCTTTGCCATTTTCTTTCTTATTCGAACATCTCGAAATCCTATTGATTCTTATTTTTTGTATCCCCTGCGTTATCAGTAACGCAACTCGTCAGTTTTCGTATTGCAACAAATGGCATTTGGAAATGTTTCCCTCTGCACAGGTATTTTAAAAACTGTAATCAAGTAACTTGGTATCGTTGTCAGTTCGTTGCACACGATGACAACCTATTGTTGATCATGATATAAAATATAATAACCATAATATCACTAAATCAACACTTTACCGATCAATATTCTATTAATAGATTTTTCGATAATCGTATTATATCAAGAAAGAGTTCAATTATTCTCTTTCATATAATAATTCTGAGAAAACATATTAAATTATACTACACGAAATGACTCATTGGTTCACGATTATAATTGCTATTATTATTGAAAAATTTATTCAGAAATTCTGAACTATGAATTATGGATTTTTAAATAACCGCCGATAAGTAAAGTGTTTGCACTAGATTTATGGAATGAGTCAATTTGACTAATCGCCTACGATTAAATCTCTAATTTCCAAGATTTAAATGAACGAATATCAATTTTTCTAAGAACGATAGAACAAACTGGACGGCAAATGTCCGTAAATCTAGTGTTAAGTAACGTGTTATTGTGTTGGTCCTTCCAAATACTCAATGTCCCTCAATCATCGTGCTAAT